CTAATAAAAGTCCAGTGACGTGTTCTCATATTTTCTATTCTATTCTGATGGTTTATTCTACTCTATTTCATTTTGCTAAAAAATGAGTCAAAAAAATTAAGTAAAGTTGTGACCCATTAAGCTTATTTTACCATCTACTAGTGTATTATATATTCCAAGTAGTCTGAATAATGCTGACATAAATAATAAATATATAAACAAATGAGAGAAGTCCAGAGAGTGGTAAGTGCTATAGAAAATGTAAAAGATGGCCGGGCGCGGTGGCTCAAGCCTGTAATCCCAGCACTGCGGGAGGCCGAGGCGGGTGGATCACGAGGTCAAGAGATCGAGACCATCCTGGTCAACATGGTGAAACCCCGTCTCTACTAAAAATACAAAAAATTAGCTGGGCATGGTGGCGCGTGCCTGTAATCCCAGCGACTCAGGAGGCTGGGGCAGGAGAATTGCCTGAACCCAGGAGGCGGAGGTTGCGGTGAGCCGAGATCGCGCCATTGCACTCCAGCCTGGGTAACAACAGTGAAACTCCGTCTCAAAAAAAGAAAAAAAAAAAGAAAATGTAAAAGAATCATGTGATAGAAGAGGAAGTGACTGGGCAGAGACTAATCTTTCCAGGGATTGAATTTACCCTGCGTAGGAAGCGTTCTTGGAGGAAATGATAATGAATTGCACTCTGCATAGTTTAGGGTACTGATCTGAGTCTATTCTTCAGCATTTATGAGTAGTTTGAAGTATATCATTTTTATTTGTACTTCTGATTTGCCAGTTGTTTTGTGTATATCTGGTGAATCCCCAGCTAGACTGCAGCTTCCTGCAGGACACGTCTTTTTTCACTTTTTATAAAATCCCCCCCAATACTCAGTTTTGTGTTGTGTGTAAAGTTGGTGCTAGACAAATGCTAGTTCAACACTGGTTATTGAAAATCACACTAACCCAGGGCAGACATTCTTATAGGTGGAGCAGACAAGAGCCTCTGCCAGGTGGTCAGGGTTGGGTAGCTTCTTGAATCCTTCAAAATAGCTCTTCATTGTTGCTTGAGTGTGAATCTTTGTAATTAGAAATTCAATCCTTTGTGTTAAAGCCTTTATCAGTGAAGTCTTAGCAACCATTTATGCCTCTGTCGAATGTGTATAATTATATGACTGAGTCATGGCTGAACTTAAAAGGAGGATTGGCCTGGCTAATCCCTCCTAAGCACCAGTTCTGCTGTCTGGAGAGTTGCTACCAGGTACTGAGGTCTGCCTGTCTGGATGGGAGGCCCCAGTGGAATACTTAGTTCCCACTAACTGAGAGAGTCAGAGAGTGCAGGTGCCTGATTAATATCTTATGATTAAAATAATAGTATAGAGAGGATTGACCATTAATTACTCACATTTACATGCTAATTTTGGTATTTTTGCTTTTAAGGAAATACAATACCAAGGCACAAATTGGTTCCCTCCTTTAAGCCTCAATTATCATCAATTTTGCTCTATTTACTCTATTTCTGGTTTGTGTCCCAACTCCAGGGAGGACTCTCTTTGGCTTTGCTTATAGTCAGAACTGAAGCTTTTCAAGCCAGGCATCTCCGGTCATGTCTCCCTTCAGGGCTGTCTGCTCTGGTTCCAAGTCAGGAAGATTCGGAGGCCTGACTGCTCTAAGACAAGCAGAGATCCTCAAAGTCCAGACACTTTTGCCTGTGTGTGAAGCATCAAAGGTGGCCGGGGGGCGGGGGGAAGGGGTGGCAGAATCCCCCTTTTCTTCCTCTCCCATCTACATTCTCCCCAACCCAACCTTCCTCCTGGTGTTTAGACTTTAATGTTGGTTTACTCCATTGATCTTATTTCTCACTTCCAAAAGGAACTTAGTTTCCTACCATCCATTCCTTCTACCCCAATCTCTGGCATTTTACAAGATGTTTATGCTTTTTAACAGGGGGTTTTGGGAAAGTTGGATCACCATATGCAAAAGATTGAAGCTGGACCCTTACCTAACACCAAACACAAAAATTAACTTGAAATGGATCAAACACCTAATCATAAGAACTAAAACTATAAAATGTTCAGAGGAAAATATGGGGGAAAGCTTCATGACGTTGGTTGCTTGGATATGACATTAAAAATACCAGTAACTGGCCAGGCATGATGGCTCATGCCTGTAATCTCAGCACTTTGGGAGGTTGAGGTGGGAGGGTCACTTGAGCTCAGTAGTTCAAGACCAGCCTGGGCGACATAGTGAAACCTCCTATCTATGAAAGATAAAAGCAATTAGCTGGGCATGGTGGGACATCCTGGTAGTCCCAGCTACTTGAGAGGCTAAGGCAGGAGGATTGCTTGAGCCCTGGAGATGGTGGCTGCAGTGAGCTATGAATGTGCCAATGCACTACAGCCTTGGTGACAAAGTGAGACCTGTTTCAAAAGACAAAACAAAAACAAAAACAAAAACAAAAAACCAGCAACAACAACAAAAAAACAGTTAAATGAGGCTTCACCAAAATTAAAATGTCTGTGCGTCAAGGAACACAATCAGCAGGGTGGAAAGACAACCCACAGGATTGGATAACATATTTGCAAGTCACATATTTGATGAAGGATTAATACCCAGAATGTATAAAGAACTCCTACAACTTAACAAGAAAACAATACAATTTTTAAAATGGGCAAAGGACTTGATTAGACAGTTCTCCAGAGAAGATATGTAATTGACCAATAAGCACATCTAAAGATGACCAACATCACTCATCATTAGGGAAATGTAAATTAAAACTACAAGGGGCTACTACCTCATACTGATTAGAATGGCTAGTATAAAAACAAATCAAAAAATAACAAGTGTTGGTGAGGATATGGAGAAATTGCACTGTTGGTGGGAATGTAAAATGGCACAGCCTCTATGGAAAAAAGTATAGCAATTCCTTGTAAAATTAAAAATAACATTACCATATTATTCAGCAATTTCACTTCTGGATATGTACTCAAAAGAATTGAATGCAGGGTCTCAAAGAGATGTTTGTATACCCATGTTCATGGCAGCATTATTCACAAAAGAAGAAAGCAACTCAAGAGTCCATAGATAGATAAATGGAAAAAATGTGTGACATATGTACAATGGAATATTATCAGTTTTAAAAGGGCAGGAAATTCTGACATGTGTCCGCTTTTTAAAAAAAATCACACATTTTTAATACATTTAGAAAGGAGACTTTATTTCTTACAAAGTGTTACTGCAGGGCAGCCATCAGACAGACTGAGAAGTGTAGCCCCTGGTTTTATAAAACCGTTGGATCTAGAGTTACCGGATAAAATACCCAGTTAAACTTGGTTTTCAGATACCCAGGATTTAAATTTGAATTTCAGATAAATGATTTTTTAATATATGTTTTAAGTTCTGGGGTACATGTGCAGATCGTGTAGGACTGTTACATAGATATACACATGCCATGGTTGTTTGCTGCATCCATCCCCCTGTCATTTTTTTTTTTTGGGGGGGGTGGAGTTTCATCATGTTGGCCAGGCTGGTCTTGAACTCCTGGACTCAAGTTATCTGCTCATCTTGGCCTTCCAAAGTGCTGGGATTACAAGATTCCTGTAAGTACTTCAAACAAAAACAAAAACAAAACCATAGGTATATCCCAAATATTGCATGGGTCATGCTGATACTAAAAAATTACATATTGTTCATCTGAAATTATTTACTTATTTTTTGAGACAGAGTCTCAGTCGCCCAGGTTGGAGTGCAGTGGTGGGATCTCGGCTCACTGCAACCTCTGCCTCCTGGGTTCAAGCGATTATCATGTTTCAGCCTCCCAAGTAACTGGGATTACAGGTGCAGGCCACCACACCCGGCTAATACTTGTATTTTTAGTAGAGATGGGGTTTCACCATGTTGGTCAGCCTGGTCTCAAACTCCTGGCCTCAAGTGATCCTCCTGTCTTGGCTCCCAAAGTGCTGGGGATTACAGGTGAGAGCCAACACGCCCAGCCTGAAATTCAATTTCAATTGAGCATGTTGTATTTTTATTTGCTAAATCTGGCACTCCTATTTGGGGCTAGTTTACTAGCACCTGCTTACTGAACACCAGTCTGCAGTAGGTGTTGGAGTGGGTGGGTTGCGGGGAAGCCGAAAGAAAAGATAGCTCCAGCTCTTGAAGAGTTCACATTCTGGTTTCCTGGAAAGTTCTACAGTCATTAAAATAATCCTCTCCACCGTTACAATGACTGCTAGATGAAATTTCTGAGAGCACAGCTTCTGCGTTTTCCTGCTGCCTAGGGCAGAGTCATCCACCTTTACCTCAGCATAGAACCACCTGAGATGCCCCTCCCATGGAGAGTCTGATTCCTTTGGTTTAGGGAGGGATCCAGAAGCCCGAGGTTTTAATAAGAACCCAGGTGATCCTGCTGAGATAAGTCTGTGGAACTCTGGCAAGCCTGTCTCTTGGCTCAGGCTTGGAGGCCTCCGAGCAGCAACATCTCCCTAATTATATCCCGTTGGGGCATCTTCGGATCTTCCACGCTTTTCCCAACGCATTCAAAATCTCCGTACCCATTTTGCAGTAGTGATCTCTGTAAGTTGCTTTACAATTCATAAAGTTTATTTCTATTTGATCTTCACTCTAATTTACCAGGAAAAGCAGGGAAGTTTATTTCTGTTTTACAGAGGTGGACAGGCAGGCTCCCAGGGGCTGAGTTTACACAGCAAGCCCTCGAAGCTGCAGGGCTGCAAAGCCCGCCCTCTTTCCACCGCACCGAACTACTTCCTTTCGCTTACAAAACGTAGGTGGGTACCACTGGTGTTGGAATGACGGCCCACCTCGAGTTTCAGGTGATTTCCACTCTGCAATTAACTTGCAGGCAGCCCCAGACCTGCAATGAACACACGGGTGGGGGAGAGATACATACGCCAGGGTCAGGGAACCGGCAGCCCAGGGGTGAGCGGGGCTAGAGGCCCCAGGCCAACCGCGGGGCAAACGCGGTGGGGAGAGGCAGGCCGCGCTCTGGCCCGTCCCCCGCAGCTGCATGGCCTGCTAGCCACCGCCCCGGGAGCGCCGCGGGTTCCCGAGTCCGGCCGCCGGGCGCGGAGGGCGCGCGAACACGGCGGCAGGGGCGTGCTCGGAGGACGCGCGCGGGGCTGCTCTTCCAAAGGGCAGCTCCGGGGGAAGGGGGGTGGTGTCCCGGGGAAGCCCGTAGCCGCCGCCGATGTCGCTGGGACTCGGAAGTGCCGAAAGAGGGGTGTTGGGAACTCGCGGCGCGCGTGAACGCTGCCGTCGCCGCCGCCCGGGACAGCCCGGAGGTTGGTAGCTGGTGACCGTAGGGGGGTCCTGGGGAGGTTAGGTGCTGATTTTATTTTATTATATTATTATTATTTTTTGCGTCAGTTGACTCTGTTAAAAATGCACAAAACGCTTTCCGTTTCCTACCCCTGTTCCCGTGTGCGCGCCCGAGGGCGGGACAGAGGAAGTTCCCGGTCCGGCGAAGGAGACAAAAGCGGCAGGGGCCGCACGCGCAGTGCGCCCGGGCAGAGGCGGGGACCTGGGCGCCGGGACAAGTCCGCTCAAGGCCCTGCCCGCGTCCTCGCTCCTTGGCCTGGTCCCCAGCTTCCGCCACTGCTGTGGGGAATTGCGAACTCTGGTCCCTTTGGCAGTGTCGGCGGTGCGCCTGACTACCTGCTGTGACTCCTGGGACTCTAAAGTTAAAGACTTCCTTCGCGTTCTATCTTCAGGACTCAGTTTCCTTCATCTGTTCTGAGTTTAACCTTCAGGTGGCAGGTCTTTATGCGGAAAAACCCTACCCTTAATCCTCACCAGAGGTACTGGCACACTGATGTTAAGAAGTGTGCTGCTACCAGTGTTCATTGCTCTTGTATCAGGGTTGTAGGGCTAGAGCATTTGGCATCCTTGGTGGTTTGCATTATGTGGGAGTGAGAAATTGTTTCTGTCTCTGATTCGTTGTTTGTTGCGACGGAGTTTCACTCTCGTCGCCCAGGCTGGAATGCAGTGGCACAACCTCAGCTCACTGCAACCTCCGCCTTCCACGTTCAAGCGATCCTCCAGCCTCGCCTCCTGAGTAGCTAGGAGTACAGGCATGTGCCACCATGCCCAGCTAATTTTGTATTTTTAGTAGAGACCATGTTGGCAAGGCTGATCTAGAACTCTTTACCTCAGGTGATCTGCCTGCCATGGCCTCGGAAAGTGCTGAGATTACAGGCGTGAGCCACCGCGACTGGCATCTGTTTTGTATTATTCATTCATTCTCGGAGCTAAGGACCTATTTCAATGTGATTAAGTGCTATGGGAACTCGAGGAGAGGAGAGGGAAGGCTTCATTGAAAAGGTGGTAGTTCATTGAAGGAGACTTTGAGGAATGATTTTTTTTTTTTTTCCATTCCTCATGTTCCATTTTCCCTGTGATTTTTCTCCCTCCTCTCTGGTTCACAGTCAGTCCCTAATTGTAATTAAGTGTTTGATAGGGACAGCTCTGACCTGAGAGATTCAATTAATTTTAACTTAAGGAGACTATATGCTTGTCGGGTGCTTTAGATACATTATTTCTAAACCTTACAGTAACTGGGAAAGATAGGTGGTGTTATCGCTTTTCACAGTGGAATAGAGAGAGCCTTGGAGGGAGGCCAATGCCACAAACTAGTACATGTCAGGGCTGGGTTTTGAACTCCTCTTTTGGATCAATGCCTGTGCTTTATCTACTGTTTACTTTCCCCTCTCCTTGGAAGTAGGTTAGATGGATCAACTTAGGGTGAAGGTGAAGTCTTTGGAGAAAGCAGACATTTCTGTGGGTGGCCAGATGTTGGTGGGAGCTCTGTAGGTAGCATCAGGAACTTGCGAGCATGGACCTTACCCCCATGCCCTGCTTCCAGCTCAGGGCCTGGCCCAGGGGGAAGTGTTCCCTAAAGCAGTGGTCCCCAACCTTTTTGGCACCAAGGACCGGTTTCATGGAAGACAATTTTTTTCCTGGACCAGGGGAAGTTGGATGGTTTTTGGTATAATTCAAGTGCATTACATTTATTTATTTTGAAACAGAGTCTTGCTCTGTTGCCCAAGCTGGACTGCAGTGGCATGATACTGGTTTACTGCAACCTCCGCCTCCCGGGATCAAGTAATGTTTGTGCCTCAGCCTCCCCAGTAGCTGAGACTACAGGCATGCGACACCACTAATTTTTGTATTTTTAATAGAGATGGGGTTTCACCATGTCGGCCAGGCTGGTCTCGAACTCTTGAGCTCAAACTCCTGAGCTCAAGTCATCCCCCCCCCCGGCCTCCCAAAGTGCTGGGATTACAGGTGTGAGTCACCATGCCCCACCTGCATTACACTTATTGTGGATTTTATTTCTATTATTACATGGTAATATATAATGAAGTAATTATACAGCTCCCCATAGGGTAGAATCATGGGACCCCTGAGCTTCTTTTCCTGCCACTAGACGGTCCCATCTGGGGGTGAATGGGAGACATTGACACCCAAAGTGTTTGCTTATGTCCAGTCTACTCCACAGTCTCATTTTGGTTGCTGTCCCTGCAGAAGACCCTGCTTCACAAAGATAGGATGTTGGAAATGGAAGCAGGCTTTTGGGTGCTTTTTTGGCAATCTCAGGATATTTCACCTTGAGTTTAATTCAGAATGTATGGAGATTTGAAGTTGTCTCAAACATACTTCCAAGGCCCTATCATTTACCATCTCAAGCAGCTGTTCCCCTTCTAGCATCGACAAAGTCAATTCACCTGGCTTATTCACAAATGGGTCTAGGATCCTTCCCAGTTCGGGGGTCTTTTGTGGTTGGGAAGTAATGCTAAACTTTGTTTTTTTTTGAGAAGGCGTCTAGCTCTGTTGCCCAGGCTGGAGTGCAGTGGCACAGTCTCTGCTCACTGCAACCTCTGCCTCCCGAGTTCAAGCGATTCTCCTGCCTCAGCCTTCTGAGTAGCTGGGATTATAGGCACCTGGCACCATGCCCAGCTAAGTTTTGTATCTTTAATAGAGATGGGGTTTCACGGTGTTGGCCAGGCTGGTCTCGAGCTCCTGACCTCGTGATCCCCCTGCCTCGGCCTCCCAAAGTGCTGGGATTACAAGCGTAAGCCACCGCACCTGGCCACTCAAACTCTTTGGAAAGCTGAGATAGATGATCATGCACCAGCTGGGAGAAAGAAGGTCTTGGCTTAGAATCTTTCAAGATCTCTGCTAATGTTTGAAACATGTCAGAAATCCCAATGTTCACTTGTCACCCCAATAATTCCAGTTTGGTTTTGAGCGCAGCCGCTTATCTGCTGACTTGAGCACAGTTTTCCCCTGACATGACAGACGGAGTTCGTTGAGGAGGTAAGCAAGTTTTGCAACCCCTTCTGTGAAATGTGCTGCCAGTGGTGATGATTTTTCTAAAAGAAATCTCTGGAACGGTTTTTCTAAAAGAAACCTCATAACTCAAACTCTGGCCAGTGATCTACCTTTAGAAAGCCATCTCACTTCTGTGTATAAGAAAAGATGTGTGTGCTCTACATCCATCTCACAGAGATGCATGAATAGACATGAGTTAAGAGCGTGTACTTTAATATGGTTGATAATTTTAATCATATCCTACAAAGCATTCAGTTCAGGTGACATTTTTTGGCTAGCTGTCACTTCTTTATGGATGGCACAGCACAAAGACTCACATTCAGAAGTGACCTCTTTGACCCAAGTAGTGAAAACATGAAGCTATCCAGTCATACCGGTTACTCTGCCCATGCATATGCTACACAAAATGACCAATTCAGTTATCCTGATATGTAATCATTCAAAGACTTGAATAGTTCTGCGGCTGAGGCATTGGTTAGCAACAAAAGTGCAAGTGACATATCCTTGTGCACCTAACATATCCTCATGCACATCCTCCTGAAAACCATATCCTACAGAAACAAGCATTGTTGCCTTGGTGTCAACATTGATATGCTAGTCAACCTGGATTGCATGCTGTGGTGACTCATTAATTCTCTCTAACAAAAGTGTCTCAATATCCCCTGCTATTTCATCAATTCACCTAGTTATGCTGCTAGAGAGGAACGCATGCCACCTTTTGAATTGCAGCCTCTCCTAAAAGTTCAGAACAAATGTCCTTAAAAGTAGGCAGGACCAACTCTTCACCAGTAGTAAAGGGCTTCTTAGCTTTAGCAGTGCAGTTAGCCACTAAGAATGATCCTCTCATTGCAGACATGATTTGATGAAATGGTAGCCTTCAATAATTGCTTCTGTTCTTTGTGTTCATATTTTTTCTTTTGAAAAGCTCCAAAGGCTTGTCTTGTAATGCAGGGTGCTTGGTCTCCCTGTGGTGAAGCAGTTTTGAAGGTTTCATGGCTTCATTGAATAGCCATTTGAATATGCTACAAAGTGGACTTGGGGAATGTGAATCACCTGTTGCAATGAACCTGTAATTTGAGTAGGACTCCTGGTATTTTATTTTAAATGCAGCTTTCTTTTTGTTGGCAGTCTTAGAGTCTTCTGCTGTCTCACCATTGGGTGTTTCCCCCTTTTTGAAGAAGCTTACCAGTGACATTTGTTTTTTACTCATTTTGGCTAGGGTTAGCTTGTGGGCTTACCAAAACTGACAGAGACAAGTGTGCAGTGCAGGAAAGAGGCACAGCTGGAAGTGGTAAATAAAATAATGGGCAGGCCATGAGTGGACTAAAATAAGTGTCTGATTCTGACTTAAAGCCTTCCACCTGATGCAGCTGTACAATGGAAGTACATCAACTCGTTGCCACTGTAAAGCCTGCCACCAGCTGCAGCTTGTTACATGACACTCACAGATAGGATTTTGATATGAGTCTGTAAGCAATTGATTTACTATGCTCTCTGTGTAGTCAAACCTCTCTGCTAATGTTATTCTGTATTTGCATCCACTCCCCAGTGCTAGCACCACCTGTAGTCCCAACTACTTGGGAGGCTGAGGAGGAAGGATCACTTGAGCCCAGGAGGTCAAGGCTAAGGTGAGCTATGATCAGGCCATTGCACTCTAGCCTGTGTGAGAGAGTCAGACCCTGTCTCTTAAAAAAAAGTGTAAAATGAAAAAACTAAAAAACAAGGCTCCAGATTTATGAGTATATGTACTCCTTTATTAATGCAGTAAGTAACAAAATTCAGTGCAGTAGCAAATAACTCCTGTAATTTCAAAGTAGTGATGCCCATGTAAATGGTATTTTGTGGTATTTCCAAAAGCTGTACTGCACTGTGGTATGAAAGTATCTGTGACTTTTATTGATGACAAGTCATCAGAGCTGCTGTTACTACTATGACTTTTCTTTTTTTCTTT